ATTTTGTTAAATATGATCAATAAGGAGTTTTCAAAATATTGTTTGTTTTTTGCCTCAGCCAATTGAATGCAGAGAAGTCCTCTTGTTTGCCTTATAGTTCCTAGTTTGAAGTTTCTATTTTTTTTTTTTTTACTTTAAACATTTAAATCACGGAAAAGAGCAGAAAAATTAATATTGTTATAAATAATGATACATGTATATCAAAATAGAAAATGCACTTAGAATGAGATGGATCTGATGCCATGAAAACAAATCAAAGCTTATAAAGATATTAGTCCAATGTAAGTGTTCAGGGCTCCATTTCACAAAAAAACCTAAGTCGGGTTCCCTGACTAAAAGCTTGATTATCAATGTGATTAAGTCCTTACTTCACTTAGTCATGTTTCATGAAGAATCTAAAAGGTCGCTTACATCGGTTTTTTCTTAGCTGCTAGTCGACAAATCCTAGCTTCCTTGGGAGGTGTCTAAGTCAGAAAGCTCAACTAAAACTTGGTAAATGAGAGCATAATCAACAAAAATTTGGAAAGAACATACCTCCATCAACATATTGTGTTATAATATCCTTGAACAGTACTGAAATTAATTGAATATTTAAATAAAAAAAAATTAAAATGTAACTTCATCCAGCCAAGCACGGGTTTGTTTATATTTTTGACCACTAGATGTCCTACAGCAGCATTCCAAGACAAGCTAATGTTTTCATGTTACTTTGAAGTTTTTTTGAAGTTAAACTAATCAATAAAGCTCAAAAACAAACTTTGTTTTACGTTTTGACTGATTTTTATTGTTGATATATGACCGTTCTCGGCCAAAACTTAATGGATTTTTACATCTATTTTTGTTGAGTTTCTTGTGTACATTGACTATGGTAAGAGCACCGAGCTAAGACTTAAGATTCTTTGTGAAACACGCCTAGTTGACTGCAGAGTAATCGACCTTGTAATGTCACTCAGCTCAAGCCAGTCAACTACGGATTTAAGATTCTTTGTGAAATGGGGGCCAGGAAGACTGGTGTCTCTTCAAGTCTTAGCATGCTACAAAGTTTTTCAAAAGAGTTTCTTTTCTGGCTTACGTGGCAGTGTCCTCTACTTCAGTAAAAGTTGCATTCCTCTGTCCACTGCTCAACACTAGGGATAACCTTTCAACTGTGTCCATGCCTGAAGTCTGAAAATTAATGTAATCAATATGAAGGTATGGTAATTCTTCGATCTTTTCAATAGGAAAAATGATGTCTGTGCAGTGTACACATGATACCCATAAATTCCATTTTGTGCAGAATAACAATAGTGAAGATTTGTACAACTTAGTGTAATTCACATGTATGATTTTTATGTTGAGTTTCCGTAAGTTGACGACGTGGGTGCAAAAAATCGTAGGGGGGGGCTTCCCAAACACGTATGGATCCCCTTAGCAAAATTTAAAGTTTGCAGCAATATTGCAGCAAAATTGCTGCAAATTAAAAGTTTCCACAACTAGTGAGCAGGAGTTTGCAAGAAAAATATGTATTGCTGCTAATTTGCAAATAAACTTACGTTTGCAGAAAGTTTGCAAGAAAAGTTTTATGTTTTGGCGAATTTGCAACAAATTAGCAGCAACTTTCATTATGACAAGTACATAACACATTACATAAAACACTAAGAAATGAATCCACTTGCAGTGTCTGCAGATAAAACAAAAAAATCCCTTAGCAAAATGAAACGTTTGTGGCAAATAGTTTGCAAGGAAATTCTTTTTTGCTGCTGATTTGCAACAAATTTGCAATAACAACTAAAGTTTACAGCAGGTTTGTAAGAAAGTTTATGTTCTGGCAAAATTGCTCCAAATTCACAGCAAATTAGCAGCAAGCTTGCAGCAAATTAGCTGCAAATTCACAGTAAATTAGCAGCAAGCTTGCAGCAAATTAGCTGCAAATTCACAGTAAATTAGCAGCAAATTTGCGACGAATTTGAGAGAGAGTTCCCAGAAGGCCTGATATTTTGCTAAGGGAATTCATTTACCAGAACCAGCATGTACAATTTTTAACCTGATNTGTTTCACAGCATTATTTAAAAATATAAATCTGTTCACTCAGTAATTTTTTTATAGGTGAAGTCTATGTACTATATACTATATCCATTCAGAAAAAAAGACAAAATGAAAAATATATATATATGAGAGTATATAGCTTGGAAGACAAATAAAAGTAGAACACTGTTTTTTAGCCCAAGGAATTTGACAAACTCTTAATAAAAAAAATTTTAATCCTAAAAACTATATGTTACTGATCAATAGATAAGCACATGTGATTCTCAGTTGTGAACAGAAACATTTTTATTATAACAGAAACATTATTCATTTCTATTGAGTTGTTAATTGGATACGTTGGCCCAATGTTAGGCCAACGTATGCAACAAATATGCACACGTTGGCCCAATGTTGGGCCAACGTGAGCATATTGCAGTTATGTTATGCATATTATGATGTGGTTGGGCCAACGTTGGGCCAACGTATTACTACCAACGCCAACTATATGCCAACAAACCAACGATTCCCCTACGTTGGCCCAACGTATGCTTGCTATCTGGGATATAACAAGTTTTGAGGATTAAACATAAAAACTGAGCCTGAAGAATATAAATACTAGATTAAAGGCAACTATCTACAAAGCCAAAGACACCAAGTGCTCAGTACCTGTGAGTCTGCAGTAATCTCTTTGGTGTGTTCTGTGAGTTTGGTCAATGTCTCTGCTGCTTGCTGGGCAGTAGATAGGCTGTCAATAGTTAAATTACCTACTGCCTCCATCATATCACTGCGTATCTGTGGAAGAAAAGACTTCCTGGTGCTACACAGTAATTACTCGCTCTTTTAAATATAGGACAATTGTGAATTTTACGTATATAGTATTTTTAAAATTGTAATTTCTTAAAATTAGCTAGAACATTCATATTGTACATGTGGTAGCCGGCTAGGTTCTATTATGTGAATTAAAACATCATAAAACTATACAGAAATACAATTTTTGTGATTATTAATTGATTTGCATGAAAGTTTGATAGTTTTTGCCCATAGAAAAGATTGACTAATTACAATACCTTTCCTTTGTATCCGTCAATCAAAATGTTATTTATTTCATTAATATATTTTCATTTATTTGTCCATATATTTCTGACATTTATCTTTTTTTGTCTTTTTCATTTTCATTTATCTATTTATTTACCTGTTCCCTTGCTAATTTTTCTGTCCCAGAATTCAGCAAGGAACTGACAGCATCAACCAACTGTAGAACAGCTAAAAGCCAATATCACAGGGAAGTATGTGACCCAAGGTAATAACATATAGATCTTAACATATGACTGACAAATTCAAGGAGCTGTAGGACAGCTATAAGCCAATATCACAGAGAAGAATGTGAATAACATACAGAACTTAACACAGAGAAGGATGTGAATAACATACAGAACTTAACAAAGAGAAGGACATGAATAACATATAGAACTTAACACAGAGAANTGTTCCCTTGCTAATTTTTCTGTCCCAGAATTCAGCAAGGAACTGACAGCATCAACCAACTGTAGAACAGCTAAAAGCCAATATCACAGGGAAGTATGTGACCCAAGGTAATAACATATAGATCTTAACATATGACTGACAAATTCAAGGAGCTGTAGGACAGCTATAAGCCAATATCACAGAGAAGAATGTGAATAACATACAGAACTTAACACAGAGAAGGATGTGAATAACATACAGAACTTAACAAAGAGAAGGACATGAATAACATATAGAAATTAACACAGAGAAGGATGTGAATAACATACAGAACTTAACACAGAGAAGGATGTGAATAACACATAGAACTTAACATAACTGACAGATTCAAACAGCTGTAGGACAGCTAAAAGTCCATACCACAGGGAAGGATGTGACAAAATATTAACATATAAAACCTAGCTAGCAAACATTCTGTTATTCAAATGAATACACTTTAAAAAAATAATGATTAAGTAAAAAAAATCACAACCCAAGGGTTGACGGTTTACAATTATATAGACAGAAAGAGAACCTGTGTAGTCGCCTTCTCTCACAGCAGTCCACAAGATGCCATTCAAATCCCCTGTTATCTCCTCCAGAAAGGTACCAACATCTCTGTCCGCTAAATCAGGATGGTCACCTAATGGACGGACCTTAAACAGAAAATACACCAAATCTAATCTAAACTATGAACATGTTGATCAGTAGACCAACAGATCTGCAGATCAAAAATGGCTCACCTACTTAAAAGCAATGCCAACTGATCTACTGATGGTCTCTCAACATCCTGCAGGAGCCTAGTAATAAAACCACTGAGCCAAGATTTAATCCACTTTATGGTGTGTGGAGGCGGGATGACCATCAGTGGATTAGAATGCTTGCTTTTAAGTAGGGTTGGCCATATTATGTCTACAGATCAGTAGCTACGTGGATCATGTGTTCTGAATGTGACCACACACACACACACACACACACACACACAATAAAAAGAAAAAAATAACAGCAGCTATTTTGCCCAACTGGTTTCATTGCATCTTCAGGGGGTTTAAATGCTGAATGTGTTGTTATCAGTCGTGGCAAAATAGCTGCTGTTATTTTTTTCTTTTTATTATATATATATATATATATATATATATATATATATATATATATATATATATATATATAATATTTGAATATATATAGTAAATTTGGTATCAGGGTAGTGTAAATAACATAAATTTGTTCAGTTGCTGTCCTTAATATCCCAAAGGTCCCAAAGGGCCAGTAGGTTTGAAAGTTCTTCTGGTTGACATGGACTGCATATTTAATGTCAAATTATCTCCACAGTGGAAGTCACCAGTATCCCCATACCATTGTCATTGACAGCAAGCACACACTAACCCCGGCCTACAGATAATGTCAACATACCTGGACAGTGGAAGTCACCACTGTCCTCATACCATCTTCATTGACAGCATGCACACACTAACCCTGGCCTACAGATAATGTCAACATACCTGGACAGTGGAAGTCACCACTGTCCTCATACCATCTTCATTGACAGCATGCACACGGACCTCTCCCTGACTGTTCTCACTGGCTGGGGACACAGACAGGGCAGAGATGTGGATATAACCACCAGAACTGCTGCCTAACAGGATACCTGAGGGAAATATGAACATTTTTACACAAATATTGGTGGATACAAACAGGTCAACCCTCAGTGCTGGAATATTACAATGCGCTTCTGAATCAGGTATGATACATGAAATCAAAGCTTCTCCATCTCCATATGTGGATACATATCACACTCAGATATTTGGCTAAAGTTTGGTTGAAATTTCCAAAGACCATATGTTATGCAGATCCTATGATTATGTAAGATCAACTTGCCTAACAATTTTAACTGCTGCCATTTAAAATGAAATGGCTAACAATTTTAGCTATTGCCATTTAAACTATTCATTTACAAAATGCAGACCAGTTACCTGATTGATTCTTGGTAGCAGGATCTCCATCCCAAAAATGGTAGTTATAGTGGAGTTGACTAGTGCTGTCACTGAACCCAGAGCAATTCACTGAGAAATTGGTGACAATCTCAAAGCCAGTAGAAGGAGAAACTGTGCATATTCCTGGACTAGGGCTGGTCCCCATTTGTATGAAACATGATGTAGACAGCACTGTACCAGCAGACTGACTTGTACCTACAGATACACATGACATGTTGAAGACCGCACTGTGCCAGCAGATTGGCTTGTACCTACAGACAGACATGACATGATGTAGACAGCACTGTACCAGCAGATTGACTTGTACCCACAGACGCACATGATATGATGTAGACAGCACTGTAACAGCAAACTGACTTGTACCCACAGATACACATGATATGATGTAGACAGCACTGTACCAGCAGACTGTTTGTACCTGCAGACACACAATATGATGTAGACATCACTGTACCAGCAGACTGTTTGTACCTGCAGACACACAATATGATGTAGACATCACTGTACCAGCAGACTGACTTGTACCTGCAGATACACATGACATGATGTAGACATCACTGTACCAGCAGACTGTTTGTACCTGCAGACACACAATATGATGTAGACAGCACTGTATCAGCAGACTGACTTGTACCTACAGATACACATGACATGTAGAAGACAGCACTGTACCAACGTTTTATGTTCATCTACGAATACGAGTCAATTTGTTTATTCCTCACTTTATTTACATGACATTTAAAATAGTTTCACTGATTCCATTAAAGTCTACCAACAGTTTATCTAAATGAATCTTAGACATGATGTAGACAACACTGTACCAGCCGACTGACTTGTACCCACAGACGCACATGATATGATGTAGACAATACTGTACCGACAGACTGACTTGTACCACAGACACATAAGACATGATGTAGACAGCACTGTACCAACAGACTGACTTGTACCCACAGAAACACATGACATGATGTAGACAACACTGTACCAGCAGACTGGCTTGTACCCACAGAAACACATGACATGATGTAGACAGCACTGTACCAGCAGACTGACTTGTACCCACAGAAACACATGACAAGATGTAGACAGCACTGNGACTGACTTGTACCACAGATACACATGACATGATGTAGACAACACTGTACCAGCCGATTGACTTGTACCTACAGACACACATGACATGATGTAGACATCACTGTACCAGCAGACTGACTTGTACCTACAGATACACATGACATGATGTAGACATCACTGTACCAGCAGACTGTTTGTACCTGCAGACACACAATATGATGTAGACATCACGGTACCAGCAGACTGTTTGTACCTGCAGACACACAATATGATGTAGACATCACTGTACCAGCAGACTGTTTGTACCTGCAGACACACAATATGATGTAGACAGCACTGTATCAGCAGAATGACTTGTACCTACAGATACACATGACGTTGAAGACAGCACTGTACCAACGTTTTATGTTCATCTACGAATACGAGTCAATTTGTTTATTCCTCACTTTATTTACATGACATTTAAAATAGTTTCACTGCTTCCATTAAAATCTACCAACAGTTTATCTAAATGACTCTTAGACATGATGTAGACAACACTGTACCAGCCGACTGACTTGTACCCACAGACGCACATGATATGATGTAGACAGTACTGTACCGACAGACTGACTTGTACCACAGACACACAAGACATGATGTAGACAGCACTGTACCAACAGACTGACTTGTACCCACAGAAACACATGACATGATGTAGACAACACTGTACCAGCAGACTGGCTTGTACCCACAGAAACACATGACATGATGTAGACAGCACTGTACCAGCAGACTGACTTGTACCTACAGACACATAAGACATGGTGTAGACAGCACTGTACTAGTAGGTTGACTTGTACCTACAGACACATAAGACATGGTGTAGACAGCACTGTACTAGTAGATTGACTTGTACCTACAGACACATAAGACAAGATGTAGACAGCACTGTACCAGCAGACTGGCTTGTGCCTGCAGACACACATGACATTATGTAGACAGCACTGTACCAGCAGACTGACTAGTACCTACAGACACATAAGACATGGTGTAGACAGCACTGTACTAGTAGATTGACTTGTACCCACATACACATATGACATGATGTAGTCAGCACTACAGTTATTACATCCCAAAGCTTCAAGCTGCTAGATCGGCAAGAATTTTATCCAATGGACCCTCAAAAATTTTAATGTACAAGCTATTAACTACTTTAATGAAACTGAATGAAGTGATAATTTAATAATTGAATTCATGTTATTTTTCTTTTTTGGAGAAACTGATTGATTTAATATTTTCATAGTGATTGAGTCTGTTTGGTATAATTGAAGCAGCAGTTTTGAAGTTACTAGCAGTAACCGTTTTTCTAACCACCAGGCAAATCGGCCAAAAAGTGGCAAGGTTGGGTTCTCACGGTATACACTCATTTTGCTCACAGTTAATCACCTTTGTGACCTTAATTAAACTGTAAAATATTAAAGCTTTCTGTTGCGTTTTTGTCAAGATACAGCCACATGCGCATTTCACTGCCTTGCGTGGCTCCCGTCTCAATTTTCAACTGTGTGAGTGACACCTTAGATATTATCACTGATATTTACTGAAAATATGGACAAGGGGTCTATCATAAATAAAAACACTGGCATGACCTTTTGAAGCTTTTCCCTAAAAATCTTTGCTTCCCACAGTTTTGATTTGCATTCAGACTTTTTAAGTTAATTTCAATGTTGGTTAGCGACTGAACGGCTGAAATAGTCTTCTGTAGTTTTTATTCATTGATTCTTGGATATTAAGTATATACCAAGTTCAAGTATGGGGGTAAACAAGCATTCAAAACTAAATTCGATTAGGCAGCAATTACAGTTTCAAGTAGCAGTGGTGGAAAACACACGATGAATGCACTGCAGATTTTCCAAATTTCAAGCAGCAAAGAGCACACTTAGTTTTTCTGTAGACCATTACAAAGACAAAAAGGTTGTGTGATACTCAGGAGATACGACAAAGATGATTGGGGTCACCTCTCTATGCTAAGACTTGCATGCAGATGAGAGGCCAACGATATGTACAAGGTACAATAGGCCGACCAGCATCGGCAATATCATCATCAGAGGAAATGGAGAGTGAGCTCAACTCAGTCGTGTGTCCAGCGCATCATGACATGCTATGGATCCTTTGGGGAGCTGCAAGAACACGTCAACTAATTCTTCGGACCAAGTAACTATTGTAGGACTTTCTTTGCTCGGACCAAGCGGAGATTTCATGCACAGTGTATCGAAATTTTTAACAAGACGAAGCAAAAATATTCTTTTCATCGGGCTCAGGTAATTAAGAAGTTGACATTCATCACATCTTTATTATTAATTTACATACCAAATTCACATCAGACAGAAGGTTGATAATGATATGATATCTGTGTTGTTTGAATTAAATATGCAAAGTATTTGGACAAGTTAAACTACAGGTAAGTCATCATCTAAATACTGCTATCTTTGACCCTCAGAACCATGTAAAATTTCTTATTACATATAGTGAAAAGAGCTTATGTTTTGTACTGTACATGTTAGCACTGTAAACTTTTTTGTTTGTAAGAGCAACAAGTTACAGAACCCTCACAACTAAATAATACTGCTTTTGTAGATCATTGCTGGTGATTAAAAGAGTAACAATCATGTCACAATTATATGAATAATATTTTATATAAAGGCCTATATTTGAAATAAAGCTTAGTTGTAGTCTAAAATGGGGTTTCATGGTAAATTTTGTTGGTTGAAAATTAAAAACATTTAATAGATAGGAGAATAAATTTTTGTTGTTATTTTAGCTATAAAATGGAGACTGGTCAGAAAGAGCAGCCAGGAATCGGACATATGGCAAAGAAAATAAAGTGATTAATCCAAGCACTGGAAAAAGAAGTTTTGTGAAGAGGATTGACTTACCGGTACTGCCCAACAGACTGAAATGTATTTTTGATGTTTATCTACCTTGAACAATTATTTGTATCTACAGTTGGAGGACACCAATGACCTGACAGATAGCTAATGTCAGCCATGAAGATCCAAGCAAACAGCAAGAAGATCCCCCACAAGAAAGTACAGTAATGTATTGGAGCTTCATTAAATGATGAAAACTGACACTTTTTGATGAACTTTTTTTTTTTTTTACAAGGAGCTTTTCAGACATGAATTTTTGCCCCAGAAATGTGGAATTCCACATTTTTTAATTCAATTCAAAGGCATCCCCGGACCTCTGGCCGCTTAGGTGTTGGATCCCATGATAAATGTTCGGAGTTCTTTTTTTTTTTTTTTTTTTTACTCTGAAAAATAGGATCATGTCTGTTTTTTTTTGTTTCATTTTAAAGAAGATATCCGTAAATGCCAGCTTTAAATGGGATAAGANAAGCTTAGTTGTCAAAATCAAAAATACAGAATATATTATATTTCTATGAGTTATTCACAATGTTTTTATTGTGAAATATAGATTTCATACGAAGAGTTATTATCCCTTTAATCTTGAGTCAAAACTTTGCCAGTGTCTTATTCAGTTAAAGGTGACAGGTGTAGTCTTGAATGGCAGTTACAATGCCTTCCACCCATTTATTAAGTTATCCGTTATAAGCATTTTCCAGTATGAAGGTTTGTATTGTTTGCCATACTTCCAAATAATTTGCTTACTTATACTTAAAGATCCAATAAAGAGATGATTATGCACTATAAAACATTGTTGATTGATTATAAGCTTTGTGTGTGGTTGGTGCCCATTTGTGTCCAATAATTGTTGAAGTAGTAGATCTAAAGAAATGTTAAAGAAATACAGTTTTCTTTATATGATTAAATATATGAAAAATATGGGTTGTTTGTTGTTTTATTTTCTGAATAATTAAATTTATTAGACCAAAAATATTTTAAATTCATTTTGTAAGCTACAGTATTACAGGGAATCCCATTCCCAGTTGTACAATCGAGATGGAAGCTACTGAGCAAAGGGTATACAGAAACTTGACGCCAAGTAGCAAGTTGAAAAGGGTTAATTAATTTGTCTTGACCAAAGCTACATAAATTTCTATCACAAGTCATCAAAATATGAATATGAATGTTTAAATCCCAAAGGTAGGCTCTGTTAGAGGGCAATTGCCTACTCTTGTAAAGCATAATGTTCAATTCTGCCATGATTAGAGTAAATGAGCAGGTATTACTGGCCAAGACAAGAGCAACATGCACCCATCCAAATTTTACAATTTTCAGATATCAATATATCGTCAACAAAAGAAAAGGCCATGAGGATCTCTTTTGTTATTTATATCTTTTTGACAGTCATAGGACCTCTACTAGTGGGTATATGACTCTCTGAAAATTGCCATGCTTAAGTTTTGGGGGGGTGGGGTAAAAAAAGTGGGTACAGTGTGGGCAAGGTGGGTTATATTTTTTGTTTGAATGCCTTGAGGGGAAGAATATTGATCAACAAAATACATCATATATGTACATAGTAATTATATAACTAGATAAGAGTATAATACATATGTATGTCTGATTTGTATGATGACTGAAAATCTGCTTTGAAAGCTAGAAAAACAGAAAATTGGGCATAAATCCCCTGAAATACAGTTTTGGGGCATAACATTTGGCAGAAGTGAAAAGGGTCCTCAGGCAAGTATTTCAGCCCAATAAGATTAAATTCTGTGAACCTTCACCTTGCCGCACTTGTCTGGTGCTTAGAAAAAAACTGGCACTTAATATTTTAAGTGTTCTATTTTTTCATGTTATAACATGTTTCAGTTGTTTTTATCTCTGTTTATAAGTCACATGTAAAATCCAACTTCAAGTGACAAGAATAAACATTATTGAATATACAGCATGCACAAAAGGCTAATATTAAGCTTAAAATTTGCATCTGTTCTTACACTACTTACCATTAGCTGTGACCTGGTAGAGCTCCCCAGGTACAAGAACACCTGGTTTAACACCCAGTCCTCTCTCTGTTCTATCAGTGGTGGTGTCCTGCCTCCAGTCCAGTCCCTGCACTGTGGTGTTCACTGGGCTGAGGTCCCATAGATAGTCCATAGGGTCACAGTGATAACACACAGCCTCTAGGGACACCTTGGCTCCAGGGTCAGACAGCTTACACTGACCAGTACACCTAAAGAAACAACTGGACAATTAAGTATGGACAACTTGGCTCCAGGGTCAGACAGCTTACACTGACCAGTACACCTAGAGAAACAACTGGACAATTAAGTATGGACACCTTGGCTCCAGGGTCAGACAGCTTACACTGACCAATATATCTAGTTAAAGCAATAATAACTCTTCGTTTCGGCCAAAAAATGAATTTTCTTGGAGTAAACAACAATTTTCCCATGCTTACCAATGATTAATGAATCCATTTTTACATTCAAAGTTAGTCCCTGTTTTTTTTCTAAAAAGTTTGGTTTTTTGTTAAAATCTCTTAAGAGATTTTAACAGAGTATAGACATCAATGGAGGTCACGTGGTCTAAAGACAAGTTCAAATATCAGAATAAAAGCTATAACTGCTGTTTTTTGTGGTAAAACAGAATATATTATATTTCTATGAGTTATTCACAAGGTTTTTATTGTGAAATATAGGTCTCATACAAAGAGTTATTATGCCTTTAACAAACAAGTAAGGTATATTTTTAATTCTAAGTTATTATCATATTGTTATAAGAATATGTTTACTTTGAAAAAACAACTGAACCATTAAATAAAGTGACTCATTAATCTTAACTTGTTAACAATAAGCTATATTATGTTGATTGAGTATGCCAAGTTCTACATATATAAGCAATCAAAAAAGAATATTACTCAGAAGTAAGCAGCCCACAATTTAAGAGCAGTAAGGAAAAAGACAACATTATGTTGTGAGTGGTTATAATATATTGTGAGTCACCTCTGTGTTATGAAGAGTGCTGAGTCTTCAAAGATACCAACTTTATCTTTCACGCTGTCAGGGCAGAGACAGTAGGAGTGTTGATCTCTGACTATACACGCCCCTAAGCAGTTCATTGTGCTGCAATCTGTAACAATGTTTAACAGTAGCTTGTGTGGTCACAAGATTCAACAGAAACTAGTGGATCAGAGAGGCAATGCTGCCTCCTGGTTATATCCCACCAGCTGAATAAGGGCAATAAAGAGGATAATAAAACAGAAAACAAAGGTGAAAAAAAAAGAATATTATTCAGGTCTAGCATGTAATATCCTCTCCTCTGCTAAAAATGCTCCAGTTGATTTATTAGTTTTTCGTGCAATTTTTGTTGAAAACTTTGTCACATTTTACAATATGAGTTAAGAAGTGGCAAGTGAAATTTATGTGCAAGTATATGTTCAATATTTCTCAATGCCTTGGCAAAATTTTTCAAAGCAGGGCAGATTCTGGGTGAAGAATAAATACCTGGACAGTATTGTTCAAAGCAGGGCAGTGTCTGGGTTGAATATAATTACCTGGACAGTATTGTTCAAAGCAGGACAGTGTCTGGGTGGAATATAATTACCTGGACAGTGTTGTTCAAAGCAGGACAGTGACTGGGTAGAGTTGGTGGCTCCACCTGTACATAGTGCCAGTTCACTGGGCAGATTTGGATCATGACAAATACGATTTCTAAAGGAGGTTCCTGTACCACATATCACTGAGCAGCTGCTCCAGGCTCCCCAGGCCAGCCAGCTCCCTCCAACTGGATGGAGAAACGTATAATACTTGGTCAAAAATGATCAATCAAATTTCTAAAAATTATTCCTCACTACCCATACCTTCAATATGATGTGTCTCAGATGTTTGAACTATGGATATTATTTCAAAATAATAAATCTTGCACATTCAACATTATATTGGCAGACATAAAGTGCTATGAAAAAAAGAGGAGTTAGTTTTCCACCATATTCTTACAGTCGCAGACAGGGGGTGAACCGCTCCATGTTCCACCAGTTAGACATGTCCTCATCAGGTCTCCAGAGATCAGTGTGTAACCTGCATGGCAGGTGTAAGTTATAACATCTCCTTCCAAATTCCCGCCCAACACTTCATCTGTATTTGGAGGACTGCTTGGGGAAAATTCACACACTGGAACAATCACAATCTTACATACAGCAATAGAGATGTCAGTCTATACAAATCACCATGATATACTGATCTTCTGCTTCAACTAAATTCCTCTAAAAGCCAAAATACATTGAATTCTAAATTATATAAATAAAAAAAAATTACTACAAATTATGCCAGGTGGCCCCCCAAAAATTATATAAACATCAGGGCAAACAGAACAGAGAGAATACAGGCAGATAAATAATGGATAAAATTTTTAAGATGCTGGTTGTATTTGTAATTTTTTATTGATATACATTACATATTATCATTAAGTTTGTAGAAAAAAGATGTTTTTTCAAACAATACCAGGATTTTAAATTCATGCAGGATTAACAGTTTTGTATTATCAGTTTATAGAGATTAAAATTATTAAATGATCAAAAAAAAAAAAAAAAAAAAAAAAAAAAAACATTTAGAGAAAATGGTTATTGTAAATAAGGTGCTTTTTCAATTCGGAACTCAAATGATGGTCTGTCAAACTAACATAAAAACAAACAAACAAAAAATATAGATTGAAAAATGTTGAAAAATAACCCTTTTTAAACCAAAGTGATGAAAACTATAAAAATGTGATCAAAGCATTTATATTCTAATTCGCTTACGCTTAAACATATATCAATTATTTATCGTCTAATAACTCTCAACGAATAAAACCACTTCATCTTCAAACACCAAATCATTTATTTATAAATAGGAATGAGTCGATGTGCCTCTGCCTGTGTACAGATGATACAATATTACATACAAACGTTTGCTCCGTCACCAGTTACATTTCCCGCATAGCCTAATTCCAATTCCGGTATAGTTCGTACTTATATGAATCTGATAATTGTATAACGCATAATCAAACCCCATCTTTATACAAATGTTTTTATACAAAAAATTTTATTTGGAATAAACTGGAATGTCTGTACAGTAGCGTAGCTCGACTTCGAATGATCGTTTCCCTTCCTCACGTGATCTGTTCACCTTTTGAATACAGCGCCCCCTGTACATCCTAATGACCTTTCTCCTAAGACACGTCATCGTTGACCCGTTAAACGACAATAAATACATGAAATTTGTGTACAAATATATAGTCAACATACCTAAATACCTGGACAGTATTGGTCAAAGCAGGACAGTGTTTGGTTGGAATATTAATACCTGGACAGTGTTGGTCAAAGCAGGACAGTGTCTGGGTGGAATATAATTACCTGGACAGTGTTGTTCAAAGCAGGACAGTGTCTGGGTAGAGTTGGTGGCTCCACCTGCACATAGCGCCAGTTCACTGGGCAGATTTGGATCGTGACAAGTACGATTTCTAAAGGAGGTTCCTGTACCACAGGTCACAGAGCAGCTGCTCCAGGCTCCCCAGGCCAGCCAGCTCCCTCCAACTGGATGGAGAAATGTATAATACTTGGTCAAAAATGATCCATCAGCTAGGGATATTAATTTAAAATAATTAATCTTGAAAATTAGACATAATATTGGCAAACATAAAGTGTCATGAAAAAAAGTAGAAGTTAGTTTTTTTATCATATTCTTACAGTCACAGACAGGCGGTGAACCGCTCCATGTTCCACCAGTTAGACATGTCCTTGTCAGGTCTCCAGAGATCAGTGTGTAACCTGTTTGACAGGTGTAAGTTATAACGTCTCCTTCCAAATTCCCACCCAGCACTTCAGCAGTATTTGGAGGACTGCTTGGGGAAAATTCACACACTGGAACAATCACAATCTTACATACAGCAATAGAGGAGATCAGTCAGTCTATATAAATCACCATACTACAATTGGCTGGTAACACAACTATGATGTTCTACCTTATACATGTGTACTTAAAACTGAAGAAGGAGTAGTATTGATCCTCTGTTTCAACTAAATTCCTCTAAAAGCCAAAATACACTGAATTCTAAATTCAAAAAATATTTTACTGCAAGTTATGCTAGATGGCCCAAGAAAAAAAAATAAATATCATGGCAAACAGAACAGAGAGAATGAATGCAGGGGAATAACTGATGAGAGTTTTAAGGTGCTGGTTGTAATTGTATTTTTAGACGTATATTACATATTATCATCAAGTTTCTACAGAAAAGTGTTTTTCAAATAATACCAGGATTTCAAATCCATGCAGGATTTACAGTACCCTAGGTTCTAGATTCCGGTATTGCCAGCTCGATCTTGATTTCATATATAACCCATAGTAGCAATACCAGACTCTAGCGAACAGTGGCAACTCGGGGGCATTCTTCTTCAAAATTATGCCTGGGGCGCTTCCATATTTGGAAGTTACACGTCACAGCTGTGTCCGCCTGGATCCATATTTGGAAGTCATAAGTCTGGTACGTCACAGGTTTGGCCGCCTGGAGCAGCCTTGCGCTGAAGTCTCGTGCAGGCGAGACAAGAAGCAATTAAAGTGCCTGACGCGGAGTTAGATGTTTGAAATGAAAATATCTTGCAGTCGAAGGTCAGTGCCACAATACAAGCAACATTCTGCTGTAAAAACTTATTTTCGTGTAGCCATTGCGCAGCCCTTATAGTGGTATCGGGCATACAGTGTAGCTGTCAAATTTGGCACACGGCAAGCACATGTATTGTGCACGTGTAGGACTAAATGTTCTTTGATAAGCAAAAAAATACAAAAACATTGGATATACCTTTTCTTTCAGAAGAATTTTATTTATTTTTCACTTTACATCTTAAATACAGCAAATAAAATTAAATAAAGCAGAATTAAATTTGTTTTACGTTTTATTTTGGTCTGATGACATTCAACTGCATTTTCACTGCGGAGCAGTTCTATTTGATTGATGGAAAACTTTCATGGCCGCTGGTCTTCAGAGTTAGTAAAAGCGACTCCACCACAAGGTATATTTAGCAAGCTAGCTTTTACGTTGCTCTGACGCTCAGGGTAGATTTACAGGTACCGTCTAGCTCTTTAGTCCCCGGTCACTTTAATAGCCCACGCTGCCTACATCTAACTTGCGTCCTTCAGTCTTGCTGTTGCGGAAGCGCCGGCAGGACATATCTCCACCTTGCCGATATTTATCCCGACTCTCGACTTTAAAAGTATTATTGGTTTTGATTTTATCAAAGTCTTATTATATCAGAAAACCTGCATATTTTCATACGTAAAGAGATTATAGAAACTGTAGAAAAAGCTACTCGTACATCAGGGATAGAAAACAAGACCTTGCAGCACTATAACCTATTATTCATCACCAGAAGTTCCTGTTTCACTTTTTTCTCCCAAATTACAAAGTCTGATGACAACTGAAAGGTTTTAGCCATACCTCAGGGCAGTGGGAGTCTGGATTTGATTAAAAGTAAGAAAAGTATATTTTGAAGAATTTTCCTAGCCTTCGGCAATTTCCGCAAAGCTTCGGCATGCGCGGCAATACAGAGCTGTCGATATCAGCGCGAGAGAATAATAGAATTGGTGGAACAACGGTTTACGTCGTTGCATACTCAGTAGTTTACCCGACTGGAGTTCGTGCCCCTAAAGGTACTTTTGAAGATTTTGAAATTGTCATTAATATAGATATCTATTAATATAAAACAATTGTGGCTTATTGTTTTTGCAACGGAGCACAGAGAAGGGAGGTTTGTTGTTATTGTTGAAGTTATTATGACTGGGGACATAAATTAGTATGCTAATCTCTTATCAAGGTATAATGATTGATACGATGGGTATCAGCTAGTTTTCATTTCATATAAACAACGAAAGAGGGGCCTTCCAAATATCTTTGCTGAATGTTTATAACATAGATACTATTATGCGCATAAATATTGATACATGACGCAAACGACATTTACTAATTTCGGTAATTTCAATTTTAATTAAAATCAAAATTAAAATTAAATTTAATTGAAATTAAAATTAAAATTCGTCTAAACGTGCATATTACCATACACCGTGTTTAAAGGGTTCTCAACACTTTACATCCTAATACAGTTTGCCAATTTTCATGTTTGCTGGTTTATTTTGATTTGAGAGAAAGCGAGAGAAGACCCTCTACTAAGGCCACAAATTAATTATGAGTATTTTTTTTCAGTGCAAGAGACTGTGTAATGAAAAATCAATATGTAACTCTGGTATAGGGTGGCCTTGTGTGTGTAATGATATACAAGTTGGGGCAAGGGTACAGTTTTATAGTACAATAAGTCATTTTATACTGTACATCTAATTGATCTCATCGTCGGGGCATTGTTTACAATAGCGCTTTTTCGCTGTGCATGCGTACCTTTTTGCATTTGAGTTAGACTCAGTCAGTAACAGCTGGTGATTTTGTCTTTTTTGCGTTTCATTGACAATATTTTGGTCACCTAAGTAGGTGTTTTGAAATGACATTTCCATTGTTCCTTTGAACACGCAAAAGTCTTCACAAGGAAGCAGATAACACTTACGTCAACATACTTGCTTTGTAATAACCACCAAGGGGAAGAAACAAAAGCCTCATAAGGAGTCGTCCTTCACTCTGTAAAAGGTGTTAATTTCTTGCTTCTATTGTTTGCCCATGAATCATTGTAAAATTGTAGGGTTGCCAGATCACTCGCGCTTCATTCAATTCTCCATATCTGCCCTGCAGCCTGGGATGAGTGATACTTGACTGACCTTTGTTTACATATGGAGCTTCTCTTTTTAATTCGATCAGTATGCATAAATTATAATATTTTCCACCTGGAAAAATATGTGATAATGTAACGACTCTTATTTTACTGATACATAATTACAAAAATTAATTCCTGATATAATACCCCCTTTTTCAGCACCTATTCCTGGCTGCGTTAATTATGGGGGGTTAGAAAGTTATCCGTTAGGACGCGGGAGTGATGATTGCTACTCTTACCAACGGTACATCACCGATCATCTAAACTCAGCCACCAGATTTCACGATCGAGCAAGTGATCATGAGGAGAGTGTAGCATGCTATAGTAAACTACCCCAAATATATACCCAACACCTACAGGGTTTCACGATCGAGCAAGTGATCATGGGGAGAGAGTGTAGCAGAGAACTTCATTAATGGTCGTCATAATTGGTGGTTGCCTTGGGAAAATGAGTTACATGATTACATAATACAGATACATGATAACATAAGATTAATACTAAAATTTTCCCTGATACAAAATCCCCGATTTCAGCGCTTATTCCTGACTGCGTTAATTGCGGGGGATTAGAAAGTAATCTGTGAGGACGCAGGAGCTATGATTGCTACTCTTACCAACGGTAAATCACCGATTTACTTGACTCCGCTACTTCGAGCAAAATCAACACCAAAAGACAAATTAGACTACGTTCGTCCTCTTATTAAAACAAAGAACGTAAAAATGTGATGTCGGTCAAAGAAGAGGCCTAGGCTACGTGCTTCATGGTTTATTAGATATTCACCGTATTTTTTTAGTTCATTATTATAGCTTCACCTCGCGAGACCCTTTTTATATATTTAAAACACACCACTCCACGGGTTTCGCGATCATGAAGAAAGGGAGTGTAGCAAAGAACCTCATTAATGGTCGTAATAATTGGCGGTTGCATTGTAGGCCTAAACTTGTTCATTTTAGTCAACAGACTAAGCTAGAAGAAAGAACAGATCATTATCTCCTCTCTTTACTTAGGAACAATAACATTGGCTAGTGGCAGCATTTATAAGTTCTTTTATTTGGAAACTTTCCGATCCTTTGTCTGGGACTGCCGTTCAACGCCGTATAAATGACGTCCGAGAAATGGCGATAACGACAGAGACGTCCTCGAACAGTATTTGACTCAGTGAAAATAAAAAAATCCGTTAAGAAGTAACCTATTCATGTCCTGGCAAATAATGTTTCGATGGCTCAGAGAGTTCTAGAATGAATGACAAGAAACAGCATTAGGTTTAATAATATACTAAAAACTATCAGAGTGTATGCCTGTCTTAGGCCTACTTCATTTCTAAGGCCATCTTGTGATGCGAGCCATGCTACACTACAATAGAGGGGGTAGCAGGTAGCAGTGGATGATTTAATACAGGGATACCATCGGTAGTATATCAGTAGAAAATCGTGATCCTCAAATGTTTTTTAATTCATTAAATATAAACAGTCTTTTCTCATGCAATGGGTCTGGTATAGTTGTATTGGCCTATCAGTTGGAAACCCGTGGTTCGTCTACAATTGCAAATGGCGGAGGTGCCGTGGAAGTTATTGTCCTAAAATTAGCTGGATACGTGCACGTGAGAAAATTATTCATTAAATTTAGTTTTCGAGCGTCAGCTTAACCTGGTAAAATGCGAGTCGAAAAAAATCATAGATAGAGCCTTATGACCCACTGTAGAATGATGCCGAATAATACATCAACGACGTAGTTTATCGGCAGATAAACGTGTTTCCATTCTCGGCAGACTGAGGAAAGGTTTGAGAGAGCATTTAAAGAAGAGGCAGGCGAACCAATAGTGAGTAGGAAGTGTGCTGCAATCAAGACGAACAATACCGATCATAAGTGGACAGCCAATAACCCCTAATTAAGCCCGGGTTACGCGCTGCTGTGTTGACTCCTTGCTGGGGAGCGGTAGCGGCCTCCTACTGCTATGAGTAATCACGCATTGTCTTCTAACTTGCGGCTTAGTTGACTCCTTGCTGGGAAGGGGTAGCGGCCTCATACTGCTGTGCGTAACCAACTAACTTGCGGCTACACGTCGGTTGCATTGTATTAATAAAGTAATACCTATTCATAAGGAAGGGGG